CCCATAATTTTGCTGAAAAGAAGTGCACAGTAACTTCGTTGCTGTGAATCTGTCTCTGGGGTGGAGATTAAACACAATTGGCATGCATGGTGGTGTGTGAAACATGAAGGAACGTGGTTTCTTCCTCAAGGTGCAGACTGTTTAAATCAGGGGTGGGCAAAATGCAGCCTGCAGGCTGGGTGTGGCCCACCAGGCCATTCATCTCTGGCCCACAGGGCCCCTAAAAAATTAAGAAAATTAATAATCATCTGCCCCTGGCTGCCTGTCATGCGGCCCTCGATGGCTTGCCAAAACTCAGCAAGCGGCCCTCAGTCCGAAATAATTGCCCGTCTCTGATCTAAATCAAACGTACAGGGTTGGGTTCTCTTTTTTGCTTATTTACTGGTGATTTGGGAATTACTACAAACAAGCTGGTGTTAAATGTGTGAGGGGGGCCTAGAAATATGTTCTTTCAAGAAAGAGGATCTCTCTGTTGAAAGGGATGTCTTGTGCAGTCTCCCAGTTTTTTGTCACGTTTGACTTCGGTTCTGGAACTGGCCTATGGCAGGTGATGCTTCCTGTGTTCCTTCATGGAGAAGGGTTTAGAGGCTTTTTCCAAACTGTTAATCTGTGGGAATGTTAGAACTTCAAATTCCGATTGCCTGCAGTCTGGTGGATTGGTCACAGGTTGGTTACTGAAATTAGAATTGAGTAAATGAACAATAGGGGGTTGGTTTTTGGGGTTTGTTTGTTTGTTTGTTTGTTTGTAATGCCTTATGGTGTCTGTTGCAAGCTGTTAATACTTCCCAGAAATCCAGATGATTGCAAGAACTAAGCTTAAAATGAACACGATAGGAACAAGTCTCTGTCCTTCATCTCTGTCTTGTGCCTCTTCATGCAGGCAGAGCGCCGGCATGAAAGCCGTCTGCAAGACTTAAAGGATCGCCTGGAGCAGTCCGAAAGCACTAACCGCAGCATGCAGAACTACGTCCAGTTCCTCAAATCCTCTTATGCCAACGTCTTTGGGGAAAGTGCCTTACTGAGCTCCCCTATCCGTTCTCGATCCCCTCCATAAGAGTTTCCTCCCTGCCCCTTTGCTATTGAAAGCTGCAGAAGGAGCCCTATTTCAAAGCCATATCTCTTCTAGAAAAGTTGCTGGGATTTCAGTGTCTTTATAGGGAGGTGTCATCATCATTGTCGGTCGTCGTCATCATCTCGTTGCTTGGGTGAGATTGAGCTGAAGTGTCATATGCCAGGAAGGTGAGGTAGGGGCATCCATAATAGTTTTCAAAAGTGGAGATTATTACCTCAGAAGCCATGCCCCAAAACATGAAGCATGAGGAGGGGAACACTTTTTATTATTTAATTTTTTTTAGTCTGTTAAATTTCTATCCAAGTGTTTGCATGTCTTGTATCTATTCTGGCCAGCTTTTCTGCTTGTCATGTTTGGATACTTTTTAAAGTTTTTTCCAAGGGCCCCATTCCTTCCTTTCCACTCTTTCTATCTGAAATTGTTTTCTTATGTGGAGATCATGTTTTTTGTTTTTAATTCTCACATCCTGTGCTGATAAAATTGAACAATGAGATATCAGGAGATAATGCCACCAGTAGAAATGTGAACCCAATAAAGTGATCATTAAGTGCCTGGGATCCATACTTCAAGTGGATTTTCTCCTGGTTATCTACATGGCTGTGTGTTTGTGTTTTTTATATAAGCAATTTTATACTGGGGAAACAATGAAACTACTTTAAGATGTCTTGCCTTGATTCACGAACTTGTTCTCATCCTGTATCTTAAGCTTGATGTGTGTGTTTGTGTGTATTAATGCTTCCACTCTACCTACCCTGATTGCCTGATCCTGCATTCCCATCCCAGAGACTGCGCCAAAGCCATTTGAAGTCAGTGGGATGAGTCTTATTAACTTTAATGGGCCTTGAGGAATTGCCCCAGTTTGAACACATTGGGAGTTCTGAGCACGTATGAAATGCAGGCTTGGGTCCTAAATTGGTTGATGAGAGTCTGAGACATTTGATTTTATCCTCTAAGCCAACTTGCACATTGCTGAAACAAGGTTTGCTCTGGAATATGCGGAGAAGCAGCTGTTCTTAAAAAAAAAAAAAAAAAAAGTAAATAATTCTTGTTCCATAATAATTTTATCCCAAAATGTGTTGCTGTTTTTATATTTTTTGTAATCTATTTATATGAGGTGCAGTCATCAATGGAATATTTGCGGTAAGCATTTTTAAATCAGTATTTGAGAGTTCCATTTTTAATGCATAACTTAAAAAAAAATAAAAAAGGTGCTATGATAAAACTATTAAACTTAAGAAAATTGTGTGTGTGACTTCTGTGCTTCATTTTGTGTATTGTCTCTTACTCTTTTTTCCTTTTGTTACACAGCTGAAGTTCTGAACATTATAGATTTTAAATGTTATTCATATTGTAAAGATGATCAGAAATATGACCCAGGATTTGTCTACTGGCCATCTTTGTTGCTTACTACAGTACTTTCTGAAGCCCTTTTGGGGTGAGTCTTGCCTTCATGAGCATATTGGAATGTTCTGCTGAAGTCAGTTGAGACAATTCCCCCCCGGGGGGGCTTTTTTTTTAAAGTAAACTCTACTGCTTTCTTCAAAAACACCTAGAATGGGGTGGCCAAAATGTGGCCCACGAGCCTGATGCAGCCTACCACGCCATTCTATCCAGCCCACAGGGCCCCTAAAAAATTTAGAAAATGAATATTTATCTGCCCCTGGCTGCCTGTCCTACAGCCCTTGATAGCTTGCCAAAGCTCAGTAAGCGGCCCTCCACCCAAAATAATTGCCCACCCCTGATCTAGCATCTACCTTGACTACCCTTGAATCAAATACAGTAGAAGTGTGTACAAAATCATAGGAACTCTACTCTGAGGGCATATTATTGTAAGATCCTATTTGCTACTCAGCTGAACCTTTTAGTTCATGAACTAATCGCAACCATACCTTGAGTTCACCATAGGGCATTCCTTCCCAGCTTGTGTGTTCCTTGCCTAAGGAGCCGACTGCTTCATCTGCTCTGGGCGTGGGATTGTCATGAACTTCTGTGTGTTGCCAACAGGACAGAACAGAGGAGTTGCTCACTAGGGCTGTGCAAAACGGCACTGTTCTGTTTCGACGTTTTGACAGAACGTTTCATTTTGTTTCATTTCATCAAAACAGTTTCATCATTTTGCCTATAGGCTATAATGGGGAAGCTCAAAACAGCCTATAACCTTGTCATTTCTGGCCTGATTTGGATGAAACATGCTGGAATGGTAGCCCCTTCTGAGGGCATGAAGCCTGCCATTTTACAAGGAGATGTGTGCAGGGGTTTCAGGGAAACTGCACCTCAAAGTCTTTAAAGCAAAAAAACTTATGTCACGTGTATGTGCAGGTATGCTAGACCCTGCTGAGGCCACAAAGCCTGCTAGCTTTCAGAGAGAGAAGTGCAAGGGTTTGGGAGAAACTGCACCTCAAGCTGCTGACTAGCAAAACTCGTGCCATGGACGACACTGTGTGTTAAGGTGCAGCAGGGTGAAAACTGCAGGCATGTTACACCCTGCTGAGGTCACCGAGCCTGTCACCTGCTAAGGAGATGGGTGCAGGGGCTTCTGGGTCCTGAGGCCCTGCACCCCTAGCTGCTGACAAACAAAACTTGTGATGTGTGTGTGTTTAACCATGCACCCTCACTCAGTTGACACCAAAGCAGAAAGCAGAGCAGTTCAAACAATGCTGCCTTTTATGCAGTTTTTCCATCCCCCGCCCAGAGCACAGGGATTGGAGGGGACCTCAGGGAATGGTGACAGGCACTGGTCAGCTACACAGTCAATAAGGAGAGCGCTCCTTCCCCCCCACCCCTCCTTGCCTTACTTCAGTTTCTGCTTCCCTGCAGGCAAGCCCAGCTTGAGCTTCGAAATTCAAAATGTTTTGAAATTTTTGAAACGTTTTGACTTGCCTCATTTTGAGGCTGTTTCGAAGCTCTCCGTTTCATTTTGATTTCACTGTTTTGAGCTCGAAATGAGTCGAAATAGTGTCACGATGAAACTGCCGGCAAAATTTCGCCCAGCCCTGATGTCCTGGATGGAATTACACTAGACAGTCCAGAGGAATGACCTCCTGTACTGTAGCAAGCAGGTAGTTACTGCATTAGCCTGTACTGTTTGAGATGCAAGGAAGTCTTGAATGGGAGCACAGCTCTGAAGCAATATGAATGCAGTAGAGCCGCTATGTTTCTCTCCTGGCTGTTACCTTTGTTTTACAAAGGCAGGAACCCTGGCTCAGATCTCAAAACAGCTGTTCTATGGCCATGGTCCTGTAACGCACATCACTGATGGCAGATCTCAGTGCTCTGGTTTTTAGGCGCTTCCCCAGGGTCCGACTAGCTCAGGTTGAAGTACGCTGACAGACCTGGGGTCAAGGGCAGACCTGTGTCCTTACATAGACCTGCCGTGGGGAAGGGGGGTGGGCATGCTCAGAGCTGCACACCGATCATACTAATTCATACAAAACACCACTTATATCCACGTGCCTCCCTGGCATATTTATAGTTCATACAAAACACTGCTCCTGAACCCAGGCTTCTGGTCTCTTAAGTCCAGGGACCCCCGGGGCACCATGCCCTCCGCATAGCACCAGCTGAAGGAGGGCATTGGCCTGTCTCCTACCCACCCCTTATTCAGCTCTTGCTGCGATAGGGGGAGAGCAGGGGGCTGAGCTGCTCCTTGCTTTGCTTCGCTCCTTTAAAGCGTGTCAAGCCCTGCCTGGTCTAAGTTTTCTAAAAAGCTCGGCCAGCGTTAACCACCACACACCCTGCACAACAGCGCTGAACTGAGTAGAGCTCGCGAGCCTGCGCTTTATATAGGCGTGCGGGCCCAGAGCGAGGCTGCGGCAGACAGCGCACCGCCTCCTGCCGGCCAGAGGCGCAGGGGACCCCCCGCCCCCCAGCGGGTGGCCGGAAGTGGGGGGG